TTTTTCCTTGGTTTCTTCTCTGACCCATTGATTATTTCAAGAGTGTGTTATTTACTTTCCATGTGTTCATATTATTCTGTGTGTAGTTTTGCCATTGACTTCTAGTTTCGTTGCTCCATGATCTGATAATATGAATGAATTAATTTTGATTCTTTTGTATTTGTTTAAGCATGCTTAAGTATGTGGTCTATTCTGGAGAATGTTCTATGTGCTGCTGAGAAGAATGAGTATTCTGTTGTTAGATGGAACATTGTAGATGTCCATTAAATCCATTTATTCAAAGATTTGGTTTAATTCTGACATGTCTTTGTTGGTATTTTGTCTGGTTCACCTATCATGATAGTGGGGTGTTGAGCCCCCCTCCACTATAATTGTATTGATGTTTATCTACTCTTTTATTTCCAGTAGTGTTTGTTTTATGAATTTGTGCTGGTGTTTAGTGCATATATATTTATAATTGCTACCTCTTCCTGTTGAATTGTTCCTTTCATTATGTAGTAACCTTCTTTGCCTCTTCTGATCAGTTTTGGCTTGAAGTCCCATTTTGTCTGAAATTAGGATAGCTATTCTTGCTTGTTTTCAAGTTTTTGTTGTATAGACTATTGTTTTCCTTTAGGTTTTAATCGATGAATTTCTTTTTAGGTTAAATGTTTCTTTTCTTTTTTTTTTTGTACTGGGGATCAAACTCAGGACCTTGCACTTGCACCGGCAGGCTTTGTGCCACTGAGCTAAATCCCCAGCATGTGTTTCTTACATACAGAATGTTGTTGTATTTTTTGTTTTGTTTTCTTTTGTTTTGTTTTTTAGACCGGGTCTTGCTCTGTAGTTCATGCTGGCCTTGAATCTTGAATTCACTATATAGCCCAGCCTGGCCTTGAACTGTCAGCAATCCTCCTGCCTCAGCTTCCTAAGTGCCAGGGTTACAGGTTTGCACCACCATATCTAGTTGGGTTTTTTGTTTTGATCCAACCTGCCAATCTGTGTCTTTTGATTGGGGAGTTGAGACCATTCACACTGAGAATTACTACTGAAAGTTATGGATTTATTCCTGGAATTGCATTGTATTGCTGTTGCGGATTCCATATTTTTCCCCCTTCTGCTTAACTACTCACACTGCTTGGAGTACTCATTTGTTTAGATGTTTTGGCATTGTGGCATCATTGTCTAGGATATTCTTGAGAATTTTTTGGAGTTCTGGTTTAGTAATCATTAATTTCTTAAAGTGCTCTTTGTCATAGAAAGACTATTACTTCATTAGTTTGAAAAATAGTTTTTCAGGATATATCCCTTTGGGTTGGAAGAAGTTTTCTGTTAGGGCTTGAAACACCACTCCAATCTCTTCTGGCCTTCAAGGTTTGTGTTGAGAATTCTAATGGGTTTATTTATAAGTGATTTGTTGCTTTTCTCTAACAGCTTTGAAACTTCGTCTTGTTTGGACTTCTGGAATTTTGACTGCTGTGTTGTGGAGTTCTTTTCTGATTGTGCTATTTGGCGTCTATCTACCTTACTGATCTGTATGTTAAATTCTTTACCCAAATTTGGAAAGTTTTCTGCTATTGTTTCTGTAAACAGCTTTTTTTTAATGTTTCATGCTGCCCTCTCATTTTTCACTAATTGCAGATAATTTTAGATTAGTCATTTTTGTGTCATCTAGCAGCTGTTGAATCCCTTTCCCATGTCCTCTGCTTGTTTTTAAGGTATCTCTGAGTATATGGTTACTTGTATCAGCCTTATTATCTAGTTCTCATATTGTCCTCACAGTGGTCACTTTTGCTACCCATATTTCAAAAGAACTTTTTTAATCTGGATTTTTTGTGGTCCCTTTTCATGGACGCTCATTCTTTGCTAAACCGGTCATTCATGTTTTGTATTATTTTGCTTACCTCAGCTAGCTCTTTATAAATGTCTTCTGTAAGCTTAGTGATCATTTTGTTTATTAAGTCTGTTATCTGTTTAGTTATATCCTGTTTGAGCTTGCAGAACCCCTTATGACCTGTTTTATATCTCCTGGTTTATCATTTTATGTAATTCAGCTGTTTGGCTTTTGGTTTTCTCCCCATTGATGCCTCATGGACCACCTTGGGAATTTTGGGAGGCATTTTGTTGGCTTGTGTCCTCATATTTCTTTTCTTTCTTTGTTTTTATTTTTATGTGTGTGTGTGCTGAGGTTTGTAGGTGGATTATAGTGGAAATAACTTTCTTGCTAGTATGGACATGTCTTTAGTTAGTATTTGCTTTCTGCGATGCACTTTGGGTGTGGCTAACTGTAGGTCTTTGCCTCTGTTCCAACATCTGACCCTCTCTGTGAATTTAGGGAAGGTACAGTGCAGTGTAATCAGTTCAGCGCCCAATTCTCCAGAAATGAAGCACAGTATGGTTAATGACACAATGACATTGGCATGTAGTTAAAAAAAAAAAAAAAAAAAAAGCAGCAACTGTGCCATCCTGGCAGTAGCAACAAAATCAACACCGTAGAGTCAAAGACAAATTGAATTTTGACATACAATAAGAACTAATAAAAGTTACTAGTGTACTACACACTGGAACAATAGAAATAGAAATCTGTAATTATAGATAGAAAGACAAACCAAATATTGACATACAGTAAATACCTCCTGAATGAACAGTTATACCACCATTAACAATAGAAACAAATTCAACAATAATTGCATAACATCAACTAAATATCTAAAGATTTATAAAGCTTAATTATAATACTAGTAAATCTGGAGCAGATGGGAAAAGGGAAAATGAAAAAATTAAAATTTGAAAAATGAAGATAAGGAGAGAAAAGTGAGATAAAAAATCTTAAGGAGTAAAAAAAGAAAATTAATAGAATTAGATAAAAGTAACAAAAGAACAAATAAAACAGAAAAAAAAATACACACAACCCCCAAACCTCAAAAAACCAAGAAGGAGCCGGGCGTGGTGGCACACACCTGTAATCCCAGCACTGGGGAGGCTGAGGCATGAGGATCACTGTGAGTTTGAGATCAGCCTGGGCTACGTAGTTAGTTCCAGGTCAGTCTCAACTACATAGTGAGACCCTGTCTCAAAAAAACCCCAACAAAACAAAACAAAAAAACACGAAGGAAAAATAAATGTGTCCAAAGAAAATTCCTCCTTTTTTTTTTCTTTTTTTTTCTTTTTGTACTGGGGAATCAAACTCGGGTCCTTGCGCTTGTGAGGCAGGTGGCGGCACCACTAAACTAAATCTCCGGTCTTCTCTGTTTTTGAATGAGTGGTTTCTTTCCAGGGTCTGCAATATTGAAAATCCACCAGATATGGGGTGGTACACATAGATCATCGTGCCTGAGGAGACCATTCCGCTCCACCCACTTGAGTTTGAGCAGCACCCTAGGGCCGTTCTTCCTAAGTCTCTCCCCTACCTCCTTGAACCTCAGGTGGCACTCTAGGACCTTTCCTATATAACCCCAGACCAAAGCACATGTAGCCCTCTTTGGGCCCTTTTTCATGTCTTGTCCTGACACAATTTTCCTGTTCATGCTTTTCTTTCACACAAGAGCTTAGAATCTGTCTGTTGGGTCCACCACATGGTTACATTGTGATCATCAGTCACTACTAAGGTCTAGTTAAAAAAAAAAAAAAATCGTGTTTTTTTGTGTGAATGCTGATTTGGCCCTGCCTTTCCTGCTGTGTGTGGTTGGTCGGTGGTGTCTTCCCTAGGGCTTTACTCACTCCAGCCACTCCCAGTTTCCCTGTCCACCTAGCCTTATAGCCTGTGGGTTGGATGAGGTGCTTCCCAAGCCGCCACCCGTGACCTGTCTGTTTATACACCCGAGCCTGCCACAACCATCCCAGCTGAGGTATAACCATGCTCACATGGGCAAAATGGGGAAAGCGAATAGGTCTCTGAGGTCTGTGTTGGATGTAGGCAGTGGGGTAGGGGGATCAAGCAGTTGCTGGGCTTCATACCAGCTCTTTCAGACCCTGTAACCTCCAAAAAACCACACGAGATTGGCCTGGCTCTCAGAGGGCGGGACTCTATGTCTCTTCCAGCCTGAGTTTAAGCTTCTCTGAGGGTCTCTGTCTAGCCCAGCCCCTCCGCATCTGTGTCTTGGGGTCATCTCCCTCCCAGTCACTGTGGTTTTTCTGTAGCTCAGTCTTAATCAGTAAACTCCTTTCCCAAATGGCTCCTGATTAAACGCTCTGAGGTATGATGGGTGCTGTACTGGACTTTTTCTCCAACTCTAGCCTGCCAGGCGGAGTCACTTTAAGGCTAACAGCCCCGCACTGTTTTTGCAGGTTACAGCAGCTGTGGGCTTTTGTTGGGACTAGTGCTGCTGTCTGGTCCATTGTTTCTTCGTGGAGCTGTGGACCCTCTTAGGATTTATCTTGTGTAAGCAGACAGGCTCTCCTCTCTGGGAGCTTGTTTTTTTTGTTGTTGTTGCTGTTTCTTTTCCCCCCTATATTGACTCCATTTCTCCTGCTTCTCTGTAGTTTCTAGTTTTTCTGTCAGGGTCCTCCCAATTCCTGGAGATCTGCTTCTTTGTTTTTCTTTACCAAGTTACTGTTTTGCAAGAGTCTCTATTCCAGGTCCCAGAGAGTCTGTATTTTGCATTCTGCCCCTGATCTTGGAAAGTCCAGTGTTAAGGATATATTTCAGTTTTATTTTTTGGATAGATAGAATGATCTTTGGCTTATCTCAAGGTGCACAGTATTTCCCTTCCCATGACTATGGTATATGAAGTACTTAGTCATATTGGAAACTCTGCTGAAACTGGGAGTCAGAGTTATCATAGTGCAGAACCTGGTGTGGCACAACTTGGGACCAGGAGAGTGGGCCTGGGACGCTAGCTCCTCTCCTCGTGATCCGTGGCATTTTGATAGACCTGTCCGGCTATCTTTTGTGTCATCCTAGGTGAGACAGGAAAATCAGTATTTCTTGGACCGGAGCCAGCTAGTATGGCTGGTCATTTTCAAATTTCCTTGTCAAGCGGTTTCTCTCCTATTAATGATATCATTCTTCTCCTTTCTAGGAACTGGTGGATCAGCTCTACTCATTTCGAGACTGCTATTTTGAGACACACAGTGTTGAGGATGCTGGGCGGAAGCAGCAGGATGTGCGTGAGGAGATGGAGAAGACCCTGCAGCAGATGGAGGCAGCATCTGGTACGAGCCCTGAAGCCCCCTGCCCTTCGCTGAAAGGCGATAAGAGTTTTGCTCCCTTTCTGTAGACCATGTAGTACCCTGTTTGTGGTTGCTGTAGGTTGGAAGAATAGACTATCTCTTCTAAGGGCCCCTGTACAGGATAGAACCTTTCATTCTTTAATCTCCTTTTCCTAAAGCTTGATTGTAGCAAACGGTGTGAAATAAAGGAGCATACTTGTTTATTGAAGCATTGGGGTGATCTTCTTAACTGATCTTTCTGCCTCTTTACTTCCAGTTCAGTTTATTGTGGTTGTGATTTTCTCCGTCATTACTTCCTGCATTTAATCCTGCCTCTTGTCTGCCTTTTTGCTCATCTCCATTGTCTTTTTCTGACCTCATCTCTGACTACTTGTTTCTTGAGGAGCATTTCCCTTCATTCAGGTTGGACTGCTCAGTTTCCCATTAACCTACCACATGTATTTCTGCCTTTTTAAATTTTTTTTGAAAGTTCCAGATCTAGTTAATAGACGTACAACTTGGTAAAGGTGAATTTCTCTAAACCTCAGACTTGCCTCTGTGAGGTAGAAATGGTGTCATCACAGCTGTTTTGATTGAGATGATTTGATGAAATTGGGCTTGTAAAAAGCCTGCTGAAAGTTGTGGCGAGGGTGAAAACGAGTAAGATGGAGTGGGGAGAATTGACTGAAGAGAGGGGTGAGGGAGAGAGGAGATGAATACAGTCTTTGCTTTTTTGTTTATAATCATTTTCTAACCAGGAGAATCTTGTGCTTTCTTTCTTGACTTTTTACCCATTTACTGTGTGCGTGCCATATTTTTTTCATTGTTGTTTAATTTTCTTCATATATCCTTAGTCTTCACCAGGTAGTGAGCCTCTGCAGGGTGGAAGCAATGCTTTATTACCCAGTTTTCTAACACAGTATTTTCAGCTAATAAGAATATATAAATAGTATGATTATAATGATTTTCCTCAACTCTTACTCTTCCCAGAGCTGGAATGGGGTACTTTTTAGAGAGAATGTACATTGGTCTTTCTGTGCTTGGGCTTTTCCACTTCTCTTTACTTTTTCCCTTTCTTCCTAGGCTCTATCCAGGGCAAGGCACAGACTCTCATGCTAACAGGGAAGGCACTGAATGTGACTCCTGAGTACAGCTCTAAGGCTGAGGAGCTTCTGTCGAAGGCTGTGAAGCTGGAACCTGAGCTGGTGGAAGCTTGGAACCAGCTGGGTGAGGTCTACTGGAAGAAAGGGGATGTTGCAGCTGCCCACACCTGCTTCTCAGGAGCCCTCACCCATGTGAGCTACCCACCATCTCAGAAAACAGACTGATGTTGCAGCTGCCCACACCTGCTTCTCAGGAGCCCTCACCCATGTGAGCTACCCACCATCTCCTCAGAAAACAGATGGGGAAGATGGAGTCCCTTTGGTTTTCTGCATTTCACTAGGACAGGAGTACCGATCAGATCTGAGCCTGATTAGGAGAACAGAACAGAAGGGAGGAAGGTTGGTGAGGAAATTTGGAAAAGGGCACTGGAAAGGAGAACCGTGATGACGTTAGGTTGAGGGATAGATGAGGGGTGAAGAAAAACTAGTGACCAAGCTGATCTTGTTATATGGGCATTGAAGCAGCGAATGGCAGCAAGAACTCAGACCAAAAACTTGATTTGGGAGCAGGTTGATATCAGAGTGGATCAGGAAAGGGAGGTAGAATCAGGAAGGTTCAGTATGTGCTTTTCCCGTTTGTAGTGCAAGAACAAAGTGTCCCTACAAAATCTGTCAATGGTGCTTCGCCAGCTGCGGACTGACAGTGGAGATGAACATTCTCACCATGTCATGGACAGCGTCCGACAAGCTAAGTTAGCTGTGCAGATGGATATCCTGGATGGCCGCTCCTGGTGTGAGTGATCTCGAGAGATAGCTAACACTTTTCTGAAGTCGTGGTTCGTCCTATAATCATCTGGCGCCCATCTCCTGAGTTGACTGAGGGTGAAGCTAGGGTCTCCTTGTTTTAAATAAGTATTTTGATGAACCACTATTCTTGGAGCTCTTGGATCTTTTGATCCGAGAGAGGAGATCTGTGTTTATATATAAGTAAGACAGAGCTTGTGTAAAGTTGTTCAAGTTTGATTTGGGTAGGTGAGCATCCACGTTTATCTCTTGATCCTCGTTCAGTTTTTGATATAGTGTCATTCCTGGATTGCAGAAGTGCAGCCTCTCAAATAGACTTTGAAGGATGATTAGAAAAGGAGAGCTCTTAGCCTTGGGCTCTGAGATGATCCACCACTATTTCTCTTTCAGATATCCTGGGGAATGCATACCTTTCTCTTTACTTCAATACTGGCCAGAACCCTAAGATCTCCCAGCAAGCCCTCAGTGCCTATGCCCGAGCAGTGAGTACTTATGGTCACCAAGGCCAGATGAATAGAGGCAGAAACAAGCAAGACCGCTGTAGTCTTTCTTGTGGTTCTTTAGCAAGCATCCTGAACAGCATTTGCTGAGAGCACACGTGCGTGGTTTTGCAAAGGTGTGTCTATAGGGGTGGCTTGCTTATTCTTATAACTTGAGCATTAGGAACTACAGTGCTCCTAGTGTGATACCTTGGTGCCAGGTAACTCCCTGAACTGTAGGTTTGTTATAGGCATGTATAATTAAGTCACAGAGCCCATCTCAACATGTTCATCTTTGTTTTCTTTCTTTTTTTGTTTTTTGAGACTGGAGTCTTGATGTGTAATCAGTCTAGCCTTGAATTTGTGCTCCATCTGCCTCAGCCTCCTGAGTGCTGGAGTATAGGCTTATACCTCCTGCCTGGCAACTTCTTATCTTTTTTAATGGGGAAGAATGCCTGTTAAAATAATGCTTATTAATATCTGTGTGCATTCATTTTATTTTAATTAATTAATTTATTTCTGGTTCTGGGGTTCGAAGTCAGATCCTTGTACTTGCGAGGCAGTCGTGGCCCCTCTGTGTAGTTAATTTTAAAGAAAAATGAAAACTCTGACACTTAAGTTTAAGTAAAGTACTATCCCCAAATTATTAAAACATACAGCTCTGGACTGCCCTTAGGTTAAAAAGAGAAAACAATACGGAGCCTTTTCTGCAACATTTCCTGGAATTACTTTACCGGAGCTCATGTTTTGCTTAGTCGTTCAGGCCATTTTTGTACCAGCAGTCACATATGGGTGTTTCCTTCAGACTTTGACTACCTAATTATCTATTATTAGGAGTTTCACATTGGCCTTCTGAGCACTTTTTACTTATCTCTCAAATTCATCTTTCCTTTGCTTTCATACTTTCCTTGATAAAGAGAATTGCCTTGAACTCAGGACCTTGCACTTGCAAGGTGAGAATTGCTTTTTAAACTAAGCCATTACTTATTTTTCTCTTTGTGGTAGAATAAAGAAAGCAGCTGCCATGTGTTCATTTTTGCAGTTCAAGGACACCCCACACCCTCCATTCAATTCAGGTCTTTGTGCTTTCCAGGCAGGCGCAGCACCACTGAGCTAAATCCCTGCACCAGTAATTCCTTTTGCAGTCAGAACTTTTAGACAGGGGAACTTTATTTTACTCTAGTTTATTAGTTTTATGAATGTTTACATTTCAAAGAATTTGTGGTATATTTTTATTTGGTTTCTGCCAAATAGTTGCTTTTAGCCCTTAATATCTTCACCCAAATCTCCATTTAAAAATATCTCTGAACCAATAATTTAAACAATTTTAATTCATATTGTCTATGCTTTTGCAGTGTGCCAAACAATAAATAGAAGGTTAAAAATGGACATGGCAGTTTCTTCACAGTACCTTTGTCTGGGTTGTCCTTTGGTTTCTGGCCACCTGTTTTAGAGAATCAGAGTTTGACTTCATACATATTTGCGGGGGAGTTGGCTATAGAAACATGATTCTGCGAAAGTCTGGAGCCTCTCTTGTGGACAGAACAAATGCACTGAATTGACAATGTTTCTGTCCTAGGCTTTCATTTTTAGCAGCATATCATTACTTGAAAAAAATTACCAGAATGCTTTCACATATTTCTTTGTACTCTATAATACTGTGTGGATTAATTATAACCACATTTTAGCTTCATATGTACAAACACCTTTACGTGAGGCTTCAGAGACTGAATAATATCAGATTTGTGCATGGTTATTATAAAATAGTGAGTGTATGTAGCATTTTCACAAGGAAGAAACTCAAGTTTTCCTAGTGAGAAGTCTAGGACATGTTGGGCATGTCCATCCTTAATATTGAAGCAGGATCCACTGATGAACTTTTTTCTCATTCCAGGAGAAGGTGGACAGGAAAGCATCCAGCAATCCTGACCTTCATCTGAATAGGGCAACGGTAAGATCCATCTGAAGGTCAAATAAAAAAACACATCTAGGTCTTAGCCTATGAGGATAACTGAGTATACAGAGGACAAAGTTGGGCACAGACTGAGAAGAAAGTCATACTATTTCTCAGAAGAGCTAGTTCAACTTGACTTCAGTTTCTGGTGGAGTCATTAGAGGAAGGGAGAAGAGGGATGTGGGGAGTATGCAGAAAAGGAGGAGATGGTTTAGAAGTCTTCTGGAGTATTAAGTACAAATGTAAAAACAGAGTGACCCTGTGGGGAACAGGGAAAGGGGACGTTACTAGAACCTTTGCAGTAAGCCCTAGTCTCCTGTGAGCCATGACAGTGCAAGGTGAATTAACTTATTATACAGGAAAGTTAGAAAAAATGAGACTTAGAGAAGAAACTGAGCTTTGGGCCTGGTCAGTGCTGCTCTGGGCAGCAAAGACAACACTCTGCCCGCTCCCTGGAGTTTGCCACACCTTTATTCTGTACATCAGGAGGAAACAAATGTAACAGATGACTCAGGGCAGAGTTCAGCACATCATAATATCAAATATAAAAGGTCACTCAGGGCATAGCAGGAGTAGCCAATCCTAGAACAATGAAGAACTATGCAGATGAAGATTTTGTTCCTCCCTCAATGTCTTCATCTGGTGTAATCTTGTCCGGGAGAATCACAGCATCACCGGACCATTGAGGTTCCTGTTGAGGTTCTAGCTGTGACCGGGGACCAAAATGGAGCTGTGTCTCGACATGCCATAGCTGGCCTGTGGACGGGAGAACTAGGCCTAATCAAACCATTTTTTCCCCCAAATTATGTAGAATTGCTCCCAACATGACCCAATATCTACAATTTAAGTATTTTAGAGTTTGGGAATTAGCTTCCATCTTGTCACCGTCTTAGCCAGGAAGAATGATATTTATGATAGAAGAGGAAATAACTGGGAAGGAAAATAATCTGTTTCCTTGGGTTTGTATGCCACTGTGTCATTATTCCCTCTGCATAGTTTACTGAGTTAACTTACAAGTGGGAGGTTTTGGATTACTTTTTGCACAGCTACATAAATATGAAGAGAGTTATGGGGAGGCCCTGGAGGGCTTCTCTCGGGCTGCAGCACTGGACCCTGCCTGGCCAGAGCCCCAGCAGCGAGAGCAACAACTCCTGGAATTCCTCAGTAAACTAACCAGTCTCCTGGAAAGCAAGGTAAAGATGTGTCAGAGCAGAAGCCTACTCTTTAATTCTGCTGTGGGTCAATAAAATAAAAGAATAAGCTTAGATAGTGGTGACCCCACAGAAGTGGGTGGGAGGGAAGGACTAGACTCAAAGAGGACAGTACAGTTTCCAGCTTTTTAATGTTTGCCCTCCCTTTGCAGGGAAAGATGAAGGCCAAAAAACTGCAGAGCATGCTGGGAAGCTTGCGTCCAGCCCATCTCGGCCCTTGTGGTGATGGACACTATCAGTCAGCCTCGGGGCAGAAGGTAACCCTGGAGCTCAAGCCCCTGAGTGCCTTGCAGCCTGGTGTGAACAGTGGAGCTGTGGTCCTGGGAAAGGTGGTGTTTAGCCTAACTACAGAGGAGAAAGTCCCCTTGTGAGTTTCCTTCAGCTTTCTTCTTTTTCTTCTTCTGGTCAAATAGCTCTCACTTCCTGGTCTTTCTCTGGCAGTTGAAGGCATTGTTAGCAGTCTCAGATGAGTGAATTCTTCCCTTCTGTGAGCAAGTATTATCTCTAGGTGATACTTAACAATCAGCTCTAGAATCTTTGTAGATTTAGTCATTGCCTGTTTTCTTCCCTGAGGTCGGAGCTTTGTGGATTCCTACATGATTCTCAAATTTAACAGGACATGGTTTGTTATAAGATACAGAAACTTTAAAATTCTACCCCTTTGTTTTTTTTTATTGGTACATTTTAGATATACATAATGATAACATTCACTATAGGGAATTTGTACCTCTGCATGATATATCTTGCTTCTTTTTCTTTTTTTCCCATTTTCCTCCTTTCTCTTCAGCCCCTCTTACCCTCCTTATTTACAGATGCATCGTTTCCATTTTTTCCTTTTATTTTTTTTTCTTGTCTCTTCCTTTTTTCCTCTTCCTCCCTCCCTAGTTCCCCTTCTCATTTGAACATTTTCTCCTCATTTCCCAATATCTATTATACATTTTGGTCCTTATTTACACTTTTAGTTTCTCACAATAGAGAAGCAATGTCATTTAAAAATGCGTGTCCAATTTATTTCACTTAAGAATATGGTCTCAAAGTGCATCCATTTATCTGAAAATGTCTCAAGCTTATCCTTTATAGCAGGGTAGTACTCCATTGCATAAAAAAGCCACATCTTCTTTAACCATTCATTGGTTGATGGGCATTTGGCTATTATAAACTGTGCTGCTATAAACATGGGTGTGCAGATACAGCTGAGGTATAATGCTTTTGATTCTTTTGGGAAGATACCCAGAAGGGGAATGGCTGAGTTAAATGGGACCTTCAATCCTAGTTTTTTGAGGAATCTCCACACTGATTTCCACAGGGTTGCACCAGTGTGCACTCCCAACAGTGGAGAAATGTTCCTTTTCCCCCCAGCCCCCCAGCATTTGTTATTGATTTCTTGATAATACCCATTCTTTCTGGAATGAGATGGAATCTCAGCCTTGTTTTAATTTGCATCTATCAGAGCCAGGTGTTGTGACATACGCCTGTAATCTCAGCACTTGTGGGGCTGCGGTAGGAGAATTGCCATGAGTTTGAGGCCAGCCTAGGCTACATAGTGAGTTTAAGGATAGCCTGAGCTGCGTACAAGATGCTGTCTCAAAAGCAATAATTTGAACCTCTTGAATAACCAGTGATGTTGAACATTTTGTAATATATTGATTTGCCATTTCTACTTCTTTATCTGAAAAGTGTCTATTCAGTTCAGATGGCCATTTTTGGATTGGGTCTTTAAATTTTGGGATGTCTCTTTTTTTGAGTTCTTTATATACTCTAGATATTTGTCCTTTGAGCAGCTATAGCTGGCAAAAATTTTTTTCCATACTATAGGTTGTCTCTTCACTCTGTTGGTGATTTCTTTTGCTGTGCAAACACTTTTTAATAAAATGAGATCCCAGTTGCTGGTTCTTTGTGATAGTTTCTGTGCGTTTGGGGTTTTGTTCATGAAGTCTTTGCCTACACCAGTGCCTTAAAGAGTTCTACCTGTTTTCTCTTCTAGCAGATTTAGTGTTTCTGTTTTAATATTTAGATCTTTGATCCATTTTGATTTTAGTTTACTGCACAGTGAAAGATAAGGGTCTAATTTTAATCTTTGGCATGTAGAAAGCCTGTTTTTACAGCACCCTTTATTTTATTTTATTTTTATGTATTTATTTATTTTTGGTTTTTTGAGACAGCGTCTCACTATGTAGTTGATACTGACCTGGAACTCGCTATGTAGCCCAGGCTGGTCTTGAACTCACAGTGATCCTCCTACCTCAGCCTCCCAAGTGCTGGGATTACAGGTGAGTGCCACCACACCTGGTCTAAAGCACCCTTTATTAAAGAGGCTATTTTTCTTCCAGTGAAGGTGTTTGGCTCCTTTGGCAAGGATAGGGTGGTTGAGTGTTTTTTGAGTAGTTTCTGCATATTCTGATCTGTTCCACTGATCCTTGTTATGTACAGAAATGCTATTTTTGAGTGTTGACATTATATCCAGCTATGCCATTAAATTTGGCTATTACATCTAGAAGTCTTTTGGTGAAATTTTTGGGGTCTTCTGTGTAGAGTATCATGTCATCTACAAATAATGAGAATTTAACTTCTTCCTTTCCTATCCTCATTTCTTTTACTTTTTTGTCTTGTCTAATTGTTCTGGCGAATGTTTCCAGAACTATATTGAATAGGAGTGGTGGAGTGGACATCCTTGTCTTGTTCCTGATTCTAGAATGAAAGCTTGTGGTTTTTGTCCATTTCTTAGGATTTTAGATGTTGATTTGTCCTAGATGGCTTTTATCAGATTGAGAGAAAGACCATCTATTGCAGTTTTCTGTAGTGTTTTTATCATGAATGAAGGTTGGACTTTGTCAAATGCTTTTTCTGCATCTATTGAGGTACTCATATATTGTTTATCCATGGCTCTCTTAATATGGTATTTTACATTTATTGATGTGCATGTATTGAACCATCCCTGCATCCCTTGGATGAATCCTACGTGGTCATGGTGTATAATCTTGATAATTTGTTGCATTCTTATTGAAGATTTTTGCATGTATGTTCATTAGGGAGATTGGCCTGTAGTTTCTTTTTTGGTTGGGTCCTTCTTTGGTTTTAGTATCAGGGTAATGTTTGCTTACAGGAGTGAATTTGGAAATACAGCTTCACTTTCAGTTTCATTAAAGAGTTTGAGAAGTAGCAGCAGTAGGTCTCTAAATTTCTTGTAGTGAATGTTGGGGGCTGGGATTTTCTTTGATGTTAGGTTTTTAATTACATATTCAGTTTCATTGACACACTGGTTTATTTAGAATTTTTATATTTTCCTGATTCAGCTTTGGTAATTCATATATGTCCAGAAATCTTTTCATTTCTTTGTTTTCCATCTTGTTAGAGTACAGGTTCTTGAAGTAAGTGTGATGATCTTCTGGATTTCCACAGGATGTGTTGTGATTTTGCCCCTTTCTTTACTAATTGAATGGATTTGAGTCTTTTCTTTCTTTCTTTCTTTGATAAGATTGGCTAAGGGATTATCAATTTCATTTAATCTTTCAAACAACCAATTCTTTGATTCATTCTTTGTATTGTTTTCTTAGTCTCATTTGCATTAATTTCCACTCTGACCTTTATAATTTCCTCCTTTGTATAAGCTTTGGGCTTGACTTGTTCTTCTTTTTCTGGACGTGTGAGGTTCAACATTAGGTTGTTTAAGCTTGCTCTGTTTTTCTGATAGGAAAATTCACCTCTATAAATTTCCCTCTTAGGATTGCTTTCATTGTGTTCCATAAGATCCAGTACATTTGGGCTGGGGATTTAGCTCAGTGGTTCGGTGGCCTGCCTTACAAGCACAAGGACCTGAGTTCAATTCCTGGTACCAAAAAAAAAAAAAAGATCCAGTATGTTTTAGATCTAGTATTGTTTACTTGTAGAAACTGCCTAATTTCTTCTTCAGTTTTATTGTGATCCATTGGTTATACAGGAGGGTGTTATTTAATTTCCATGGGTGTATGAAGTGTTATGGTTTCTTTTAGCATTGATTTCCAAGTTCATTCCACTATGGTCTGATATATGTGTTGGATAATTTCAGTTCCTTTTCATTTACATAAGCATGTTGTATGAGCTAGCATGTTGTCTGTTTTGGAGAACATCCCATGTGCAGCTGACAAGACTGTGTATTCTGATGTTTTGGGGTGGAACAGTCTATAGATATCTATTAAACAGATTTATTCAAAAGTTCAGTTCAGTCCTGTTCATTTTTTTCTCTAGTTGATCTGTTTATTTGTGACAGTGGGGTATTGAGGTCCCCCATTATTCTTTTTTTTTTTTTTTGGTAGTGGGGATTGAACTCAGGTTCTAGTGCTTGCAATGCAGGCGGCAGAACCACTGAGCCAAATCCCTGGCCCCTATAGTGATTGATTTTTCATGTTTGTTAGGTTTTCTGGTATTTGGTGCATCTATATTTATGATTGTTATTGCTTCCTCTTGGATTGTTCCCTTTATAAGGATGTAGTGGTCTTTTTTTTTTCTCTCTTAATAGTCTTATCTTGAAATTTTCTTTGAAAATAGAAGAGCTACCCCTGCTTTTTTCTGGGTTCCTGTTGCATGGAATATTGTTTTCCAGTCCTCTAACTTGCAGTCTATGAATTTTTTGAATTAAATATGTTTCTTGTTAGTATATTGTTGGATATTATTTCTTGATCCATTCTGCAGTCTCTTTCTCTTTTTTTTTTTTTTCAGTGCCAGGGATTGAACTTGGGTCCTTGTTCTTGTAAGGCAAATGGTGGAACCACTGAGCTGAATCCCCGGCCCCAGTCTCTTTCTCTGGATTGGCGAATTGAGGCCACTTATGTTGATGGTTATAACTGTTCTGTGTTAACTCATCCTTGTCATGGTATTTTCCTTTGTTGCACACCCCCCACCCTATTTAATTGCTTACCTTGCCTGGTAGATTCATTTTGTTAGGGTTCATGGAGTTTTAGTCCTCTTTATCTCTGTAGAATGTCCTTCAGAATATTTTGGAGTGCTGGTTTCGTGGTCATAAATTTCTTCAGGTGTTCTTTATCATAAAGTATCTTATTTCTTCATTGACTTTGAAAGTTTTATGGAGTACATCAATCTGTGTTGGAAGATGTTTTCTTTTTGGGCTTGAAATACTTCAAGCTCTCCTTGACTGAAGGGTTTGTATTGAGAAGTCTGCTGTGTTTCTGATTGGCTTTCTGATTTGTTTCTTTTCTCTAACAACTTTTGTTTTGTTTTTGGTACGTTGTGCTTGTGAGGCAGGCGGCGGCACCACTGAGCTAAATCCCCAGCCCTCTGATACTCTATTTTTAATATTCTATTCTAATGTTGAGTATCTGGAATTTTGACTGTTTGGTTTTTATGAGGCAGAGTCTTACTGTGTAGTTTAGA